CTGCTCTACTGCAGGGAAACATGCTACTAGTCTGACAGGAACACAAACAGGCTGCAGCAAACATTCAGCAGATACTGAAATTGAGGTAATTTACCTTGGAGTCATAGCAGCCCGCAGGCACTGGAAAAGAAGGATTCAGGTCTTCCCGGCAGCAAATGGTGTTGCAAGGATTGTGTTCGGCATAAGGATCACGCTGGTAGTCTGGGAAGAAATGTGGTGGGGAGGGAAGGAAGGAAGAAAAGAAAACAAGTTAGTCCCCTCACAAAAAGCTGATGCAAAGTGCCCAAGCCACTAAAAGCTGGGTAGATGTGCTGGCAGAAACACAGGTCTATCACATTGCCTCTCACACTCCTCCCCAGGTACCAGCTACCAGTCAGTGCTCAAGACAGGACATTAGGTAGACAAGCTCCTAACCCAAGTCCATACAGGCTGCTTCTGCATCCCAGGGACACCGCTGCCAAACTCTAACCACAAACATCTCTAACTCCACATGACAAAAGCTTGCAAGAACTTTGTCAGGAGAGAAAAGCAGAAGAGAAACGGAAAGGGGGGGAAGGGAAAAGTGCAGCAGTAAGAGCCTTTGTTTTCCTGTTCTGGACTAAAATAAGTGGCAAGGAGCAAAGCCTTCAAACACCCATTGCAGTAGCTGCAAGCTAGGAGGGGAAGGTGGACAAGCCTCAACATCTGTGAGCATGCTGCTACTCACAGCCCCAACAGTAGCGACACCCCACCCTGGGAGAGGCTTCCCAAACCCCAAGCCCAGTAATCAGCATGATCCCTTATAATTGGGAACAGAATTATAGCATCTAAAGCTACCTGTACTTAGAGATGGGCTTAGCCAGAAGTTAATTAAACTGGTTTTAATCCAGTTAAGGAGAACCCTGTCAGGGAAAAGCTGCACAGAGCATTACCTACCAAAGATAATTTGCCTGAACAGGAAAAAAAGACCTTAAGTTTTACACTAAATTCTCTGGTCTGATTGGACCTAACTGTTGCTTAGGATTTAAGGCTTTCAAGATTGACAGGCTGTAGATGTATTAGGTACCAGCAGTCCACCGAGTCTCTTGGAGTGTCAGAAGCTCTCTGGAAAGGTCAAACACCAAGCCCAAGGGCCCTTCTAAAAGGAACCCAGTGTTGTGTCTGTTAGAGTAATTTTAGTCTGGTTTCCTACCTTGACAGTAAGCTTGTGTTATCTTTTTGCTTTGTGTGTACTCTGCACCTAGGGTAATGTAACTCTGATCCGTATGTGGGCTACAGCTTCCCACTATAATCCAAGAAATAAAAGTAACACTGCTTCATTAAGATCAGCTCTACAGTACACAAACATGTCTTACTGTTGTATCTCATGATGTACTTCATGCTTTCCAAGTTGATCACCTTGCCCTGGTCTCGACGGAAGATTTTTGCTCTTGGAGCAAGCTCATAAGAGAAATCCATGCCATACTTCTGAACGTATGCCGCATACCCACTGAGATTGTAAATCTTTTCATGGAAAGGGATATTGTATGAAGGCCAGTAACCTGCCAGAGACAAAACCCAAACCGTTAATCACTTAGAAAAGCTGAACACTCTTGCTTATATAAAAAAAAAAGAAAGATAAACCATTTTCCGTGCTGTGTTGCCTTAACAGCATGTCGAGGAGTAACACGCCAAACTGGTTTGAACACCAGAAAGTAAGGCAACAGTCACTGGCATGACCAGCATTGGCTCCCAGTATAACACTGCTGGAGACTGTACCCAGGCAACCTACCCCCAGACTTCCACCCTGAGGACCCCTCCTGCAAAACAGCCAAGATCAGACTTGCAGGACTCTGAGATGAACACACAGAGCAGCCACAGCTCTCCTCTAGAGGCTTCCCTGCTCCACCTCAGAGGAATGTAAGATCATTTACCTCCACCAAACTTCCCAGCAAGAGGCTTGAAGTCATTCTCTTCCTCCCTCTCCCTTCCCATCTCACCAAGGCAGAGTAATACACCCTGCTGAGGGGGAGATGGGTACACACAAACACACACGGCCCACAGAGCAAACACGGGTGAACAGGAGGCAGGCCAGCAAAGAACACACACACACTCACCCTTCATGTAGTGGTGAGTGGAAAGCTGTGGCTGTGCACAGTGATAAGGAAAGGTGGGGGGATAGCTGCATATTTGCCACTATCTGCCTTTGAGGGTTAAGAAGTGATTGATCAGCAAAGCAGAGCCCTGCCATAACTTTTCCAAGAGCAAGTGTGAATCCTGCAGTTTTGTTAACTCTAAAGAACAGGGTTACCAGACAGAACTCCAGAGGGTTTTAGGTAGGTGACATACAACTGCCTGAAACAAGACTGGTCTAGAAAGCAGAAAAGCTTGTAAGGAGCCAGGAGACCATCCAGGTCAGGATCTGTGTGCAGCAAGTCCTGGAAAAAATAAAAATAGACACCCATACCTTAACTTTTTTTTTTTTTTTTTGCAAGGCAGGCATCGAGGAGTGTTTAGGCAGAGAGTGTATAACATGAGCTGCTCTGAAGATCAGCACTCTTTCATGTTCTCTCCAAAGCATTAGTGTTCCTGTTGTCAGTGAGGAATGTTGCTCCTCAAATCCCACACACCAAGATTTGGCTTAGAGATTTACCAGCTAGACACTGGTAAATGCAGCACTCCATGTATTAACATCGGCCCAGCACAACATGAGGAGTCTCACTGCAAGATGCTCAAGAAAATCAACTGGGACTCACTGGGAGTGATACACACAGATACAAACCAAACTTCTTGAAGGACAGCTATGCAGACAGGACAGGCACTGGAACACTGCCTGAGTGGAGGCCTTACTAGCTGACGTCCTGCCTAGCATGCAGAAGCAAGCACACTTGCCAGCCTCTAATGACACAGGCCAGAGGATACATCAGCTTCCAAACCAGTAGGGTTTCACTGTGATTCAAAAAGGTGCTATTGTCTCACATGAACGCAGTGCATACAGATGACCCCTTCTCCCACCTGGAAAAACTTTTTTACTAAATTGCTGAAACACAGGAAGCTATTGACGTTCTCCTCCAGCAAGAGCTCTTCCATGTCTCAGGCTCTGCAAGACTGCAAATCCCATGCAGACAGTGGAGCACCCAGCCTAAGGCAGGCACCCAGCCTAAGGCAGGCTTTACCCAAGGGCTGCTATAAGCCAGTGAAACCTGCCTGTTAGGCTTGGCAGGGTGAACAGTGACAAAAACAAGTCAGTCGTGGTGTTAAGTTTGAAAGGAGGGTGAGGAGGATGACATGAAGGCAGCAAAAATTATCCGAAACAAAATGCCTTCCTCCTCTGCCCATCAGAGCCAGAGATCTCCGCAATATTAAGAGGTAGAGTACTGAGAATATTACACATAGGGTGGAAGAGAGTGAGATCCCAGGTTCCGATCTGATGTGTTGATTTTGACACTGAAATCTATGTACTACTTACTCACGATCAAGAAACATGTACTACAGCCCACCCCTGTGCCCATCCCTGCGTCAGAAGTGCATTATCTTTGGGTACCTGCTACAAGGCAATTATGGAGTATGCCAGGGTCAGTTACTCTACAAATGCTTAAAAAGCCAGCACTGCTCTTTGAGAAAGGCAAACTTCCTTCCACCCACCGATACCCCTTTGGGTCCTTGAAATACCCTCTCTTAAGACAGTCTACACCAAGGATGCATAGGACATCTGGATCAGTCACAATGGAGTGCTTTTGGCACTCCTTCCTGGTTAGACTTATTTCAGCCTCTAATACAGTCAGTTCTTGGGACCTCCCTGTCAGTCCTGAAATAGAGATGGATTTTGCCCCTCTAAAGTTTGATGGCATTAGGGTGCATTAGGCACCAGTGTCATAGAATCATAGAATGGTTTAGGTTTGAAGGGACCTTAAAGATTGTCTAGTTCCAACCCCCCTGCCATGGGCAGGGACACCTCCCACTAGACCAGGTTGCTCAAAGCCTCATCCAGCCTGGCCTTGAACACCTCCAGGGATGGGGCATCCACAACTTATTTGGGAAACATGTTCCAGTGCCTCACCAAAAGCTTTATACTTCTGGGGTTCTGATGTGCCAGTCCACCAAACCCATACGGTCCAGTAAACTTGATTATCCCTTTCCTCCACCTGTCTGGAGGCACAGCCCCTCCAATACTGGACATAGCACTCCTTACTGACAAATGGATTTGTAGGGTGGTATGTGAGGGTCCCAGTCTCATTTTGGTTACTCAGTCCTTGAAGGCGGATCAGAAATACTTCTCACAGGATGAGGAGTAAAGTCAAAGTCAACCCTTCTACTATGTTTGGGGGATGGATTACTGGAAACTGGAGCAGTTGAAATAGTGGTCCATATCGGTGGGGAGTAAGACATATCTTCTCTAAATTGGCAGCACTCCGAGGACAGTTTCTCTGCAGCTGAGATGCAGGCCTGTAAGGAGGTATTCTCTTCCTATCACCAGAGTTGGGTAACCACATAACCCACGGTGACATCTCTGACATCCATTATTGCTAGTGAGTGAGAATATGATGATGGTGCATTCTGTAGAACCTTTCTCCACATGGTTCACATGTACTAGACTTCATCCGAGTCATCAGGGGAACTATGTGTTTCTCAGGTCATAATAGATCACCTCCCGCATAGGTAGCTCCCTCAGGTACTGGATACCTTTCTCTATGTTGACCCACTTGCCTGGATTACATACAGACTTGTCTTTGTAGGGATAGCTTTCCCTTACACCTGCTAGGAGCTGCCTCCAGAGGCTGCAAGGTCATGGCCCTTTTCCAATTGCTTTATTGATGCCTCCTTCCCTAGCAAGGGATCCCAGCTGTATGGCTTCTCTACCCTCTAGATCCAGGCTACTGGCCCCACTATCCCAGCATCTGAGCAGCCAGGTGAGAATGTACTCACCTTGATGATGGCTGTAATCTTCTCAGATATCTTGCAGCTCACTCAAGGCTAGAGAGGTTACTGTCTTGTCTATTATTTCATCCTCTTCCTCCTGTTTGTGATAGCTCTGCTCTGGAATAGGCTGCTTCCTCACCACCAGGATCATAAGTTTCTTCCTCTTCTTCCCTCATAAAAGGAGCTCCTTCCTCATTTACTACACATGTTGACTTTCATGTCATTTTCCTGTTTCGTATGGGGGCAACTGATAATGGCACGGACCCTGAGGTGCTTTTCAGTGGAGTTTCAGTAGCCATGGTTGTAGCTGCTGTGAGAGTTTGAATAGCTGCTGTGCTGGGTGCCAGGGTTGGAGTCACAGTTGGGACTGACATGTAAGTCTGAGTAGCTGTGGCTTTTGTGTAAATTTGAGTAGCTACAGTGTATGTCATTGTAGTTGGGGCAGCCATAAAAAGTGCTAGAGTTTGAGTAGTCACCGTGCATTTTGCCATAGTTGGGGTAGCCATAGCAGGCACCAGAGCTTGAGTAGTCGCAATATGTATCACTGTAGCAGGCACTGGGTTTGGAATTGGTGTGTTTCGCACGGCCTGATGTGGCAATGAGGTAACACCGGTAACATATTGATCAAATCGCCGATTAACCTTAATAATATATATATTGACATACAATCACAAGGTCTTACAACAATAAAAATGCTGGTTTGAACATCCTAAGGGTACTCAAAAATCCCCAAAAGCCTTTGAAAATGGTCTGGAGGAGAAGGGGAGAGTGAAGGGAAGTGTCACCCCATCAACTGGTTGCCAGGGTAATTGGCAACAACATCCATCAGAGGGCACCCAAAGCCCAGAAATGAAGCCTGTGCGCACGTTCCACTTGGCATGGTGCCAGCTATTGCAAAAAATGATAAAAATCTACCCAGATATTAATCTTATCATACCAGAAGCCACCACACAATGGCACAACAAAACCCTTTAATCAGCAATTCTTAATCCAACACCTACAGATCATAACCACACTGGCCAAACAGCACATACAACAAATAAGGTGCTACATCATAGAACTCTAAAGCCAAGTCCCAGAAAGCATAAAACAAAGAAAAATGTTTTCTCCACAGCAACATCTTAGGAAACAAAATGAGTGCTTATCAGAAGTTTGTTTTAATACGGTCTGGCCACATCTGTCCTTACCTCAACCCATGAGTTTTCTCACTTTTACCCTTCTGATTCTTTCCCCTCCTGTAGGGGAGGGGAGTGAGTGAGCAGCTGTGTGGGGTTTATGCTGGCTGGGGTTAAACCACAACAATCTTTTTTGGCACCAACGGGGGGCTCAACCCCCAACTCTGAAAATAAGATTGACATGCTCTACCAACTGAGCTACCTGAGGAGAACGGTCCTACCTGGAGCCTCTGGCAAAAAGCACCAGGGGAGACTCGAGGTCATCCCCTAGGGTTTTGGAGTCAGGGATACAGAGGATCTGAAGCTCGCTACACTCCAACTGAAAAAGAGATATTAGCAGCATATGAAGGAGGGTGAGCTGCTTTGGAAGTGTTTGGTACTGAATCACAGCTCCTCCTGGCACCCCAACAGCTGGTGCTGGGCTGGATGTTCAAAGGGAAGCATCCTCCCCATCAATAAATTCCAAAGGGAAGCAACCCCAGCTGCTAACATAAATGCATTTCCAGTCATTTTGGTAATGAAGAGTAATTCATCAGTTCACCTCCTCAGCATACAATTAGAGGAGGGAGCACAAAGCACCAGACACACACTTACATTTGTGGAATGAGCTCAGGCTTTTGGACGCTGATATGAAATGTCTAGAAAACACTTGTGAATGAACCCTGACAGTGGATGTTTTGCTTCACCTAGATTTCTGTTTGTTTGTTTTCCATCAAGATACTGCTAGTCTTGCCAGGGAAATAAGAAATCTTTTTAAACAGCAAGTATTTACCAGATAACAGAGCTCCAGAAAAGTTCAGGAGCTGAATCTAACACATAACTTCTCTCGTATTTAAAAGCTCATCTCTTTCCAGGGTGACCCATTCACCAAACATTTCAAGTGGCCCACAGCATCAATTATTTAGTATTGCTTCAAATAGACCTCTCCTTTTCCTCATGGGCCTCTAAGACGAGGCAAAATAATACCAGAAAAAAAAGCAATAAAAAGAAAAGAAAGAAGAAAGTCTGGTTTTCCCTTTTTTAAGAAACACAGATGCTCACCACATTTCTGCCACAGTAAAAAGGATAAATGAATACCATATAATAGACCTGGCAGAGAGGAATGCTCACACAAAGCTTTCTAACTTGAAACTCAGCACTAGTGTTCAAGATACCCTTCCCAGGTAACAAAGCATGATTCTCCATCAGCTGGCACAAAGAGATGGCTTTCCTAAGCCAGCAACTACTATAGGAGCTATTACCTTTCCGGAGAACATTTGTTTGATCAGAATACTCCACAAGGGTTGGGATCTGCTCAACAATGTACAAGGCACCCTCATCAAGACTCTTCTGCAGTCTAACTTTCTTCAGGTCCAGCACCATGTACTGATTGTTGTAGGTCCCTAGGCATGAGAGCAAAGAGTGTGTTACATGTCCTGCCTGGGGAAGGAAAAGGGTACAAGGGAGAAAAGGAACATTTTTTTTTTTTTTTTTTTTTTAAGATTCATATGAAAGTGTGCTTACCAGAGTTGCACTTTGAGAAGATTTCTGCCCAAGTTTTGCCACCATCTGCCATCATGTTAGCAATGCGGACCCTCTGCCAAGCTAACAGAGATTCAGGCACCACTTGCTTCATGAGAGTTTGGTTGAACACACTGTTGGTAGTCTGCAACATTACCAAGCCGCTGCCTAGTATGTAAAAGTCATCCAGGGACACCAAAAAGCCTTAAACAGCAATAATACAAAATTTGTTATCTTTGTGAACCTTTGATATACTCATAGAACAAAACAGAGAGACAAGCCAAGAGGATATGAATGAGTCAATGTGTGTTTGAAATTAAATTGTACAAATATTAAAGATGAGGTGGCAACTTCTGCAAGTGCTTTAAGCCCACCTGTCAGGACAGTTTCTCATTGGTCATGCTTTCAACATGCAACCTAATTCTTCAGCGCATTTGCTTCATGTTTGCATTCCAAGCTTGGAAGTTTCTCCTTCATCTGTGAAGCTATGTCTTATTCTTACACTGAGGATTACATACTATAAATGACTAGTGAGTGTTTCTAACAAAGGACTTCCTTTAAAGAATACAACAAAGAAAAACAAAACAAAAGTACAAACTCCACAAAGATATTTTTATCAACCAATTTCGATTTTAGATTTTGATTCTGTAAACACAACGGGTATTCCTTTAAATTAATCCCTTCTGGACTGAATCAAGCAAAGCAGAAAAATCTTCCTCCTAGTTTAATCTTTTCCAGTTTTACTATTCTTAAAAACATCTCCACAAAATGGGCACCTCTTATATCATAAACCACATCCTGCATATGAGAGAAGGTTCTACCTATTCTTTCTGACACGTTGCCATTAAGTTTTTATGCTTATCAGCCCTGCAAACTCAACACAGTGATGGATCTCTGGGCAGATTCCCTTCCAGGTTACATGCCAACAGAAGTACCAGTTCCAATTGCAGATGCAACGCCAGGAGGTGGTATACAGAGCTGCAAAGGTCAGCCATAATGCCACGGATAGCACGGTGACTATTTGCAAAGTAGAAATAACTTGACTTTGAGATTCCCCAGCGGATACAGAGCTGCCACGTTGGGAAAGAAAGGTTGTTAACTGAGGTCCTGAAGGGGAAATCATCCAGAACCTGGTCAATGCTAATGAGTTTTTAATGGTATCACTCTTCAAAGAGTACAAAATGCTAAAATGCTGCACAATAGTGTAATAGTTAAGTTCCATTATGAAATCTTCTACAGCAAGCTTTATTAATGCACTCTGCCAACAAACTAAGGTCAGCAACCCATGACAACCAGAAAGACAACTCAGCTCTGCCTCCTATTCCTGGGTTTTCATCAAAGGCAAACATTACTTTGCTTGAAGGAGGTCTAAGGACTCAATTTCTGCAAGATTTCTTTAAAGTCCTCAAATCAGAACAGATCCAGGAAAAAATACTTTGTGGTCACCTGTTCTCTAAAAATATGTCAGTACAGAAGAGGCAGAGCACTCGGGCAGCTTGTGGTTCCTAGTATTTTATTCTTGGCGACAGAAAAAGAATGTCAATAAATTATGTACATCAACAGCAGAGTTCCCTCTCTAATAAGTAAGGACAGGAAGAGAAACACTCTAAGCCTGGCTCTGCCAGTCTACATTATACAAAGACATGGGATACTCCAGCGATAAACGTTGTGTAATAAGTCAAGTGCTTGCCCAAACAGAGACAAGAAATGACATTGTTAAACAATTGTGATCCGAACTGAACGCCAATTCCCATGCGGGTGCCAATGCCAAGTGCCCTACTTCAAAATAAACCAAATAATTTTTTTCTTCTTTTTCAATCAGCTGAGCTAAAACAGAAAAACCTAACTCAAAGCAACTGTCAACACAAGGAATGATGCTGAATTAACTGATGTTTGAACTCTGTAGTTAGAATAAATTGCAAAGCTCAGCTAAGCTGAAAACAAGGAGATTTTCTTCTGGGCCTTAGTATTTACTAAGTTTTATCCTGCAATGTTTTATAATACTGCGTGCCCTCCACGATACACCATTACTAGCCTAATTATTCCAAGACAACGTACACCATTTTGACTTAAGGCATAGGCACCCCTGAAACAAAAGGGAAGTTAAAACACACACAACAGGTTTACCCAGGGCAAAGACATCCACAATAAAACCTGGGTGAAGCCTAGAGATACCAGCAGGTATTTTATGTCTTGTATCATTCTTGTCTTTTTAAGTATGTAAGAGAATCTGTTGCAAATGAAAATGCCTTTTATGTCAACTGTCATATCACAGTACAGTTCACAGATTTTGTTTCTATAAATCCATCTCCCATTTTTATCAGCAACTCTCAATCAATTTTTTTTTCTTTTTTATTCCCTCCAATGAACCTAACTCTTCCTATATAGAAAAAAGCAAAAGCACTTCTGATTGCAACTTCTGGGTCTGAGACATTTAGATTCCGTTTCCAATCACCACTGGAATACTGAAATTTCCAGAGTCTGGAGTTTCATTCATCATGACAATATTAATCATCCAAGCAAAGCAAAATATTGTTTTGAAATCTGAGCCACAGTGTTCTCCAGAGAGTCAGCACACCAAAGAATATGTGGGGGTAACATGTTCCTGGCAGCTGTTGTTCCTAAACAAGTAGGGTGCTCCTTTCTGAACCAGCTGGCATCAGCTTTTTTGGTGTTTTAAAAGGTCGTTGTGCTCATTCAGGTACAAAAAGGGTCAGTATTACAGCCTGGAAGTCAGAGACACGAAGTCTAGCCATCACCTCACAGGGATGAGAGTAGCTCCCAGTTGAGATGCTCAGTTCTCTGGGGTACAAACTCACTTGACAACGGGAAAGGAGACATACTCTCTGAATTAGCTTTCTTAATCCCATCACCAGCTGCTTCTCATGCCAAGACTGAACTCCTGCCAGCTGCCTTTCTTCCACTTGTAGACCTCTCCTAGGCACTAAGAAATTGCACATGCCACACTGTAGCTCTGGCCTCTCATCTTCAAAATGCATCAGACACTTTCCTCTGCTTACCTCCAGGTTTTAGACAGATGTCGGAGGGAGCAGGGAAGCAAGAAACAGTCTGGCAATACTTCATGAGCAAGCTGGTCCCCTGAATACAAGGGCTACTGCCTTTTCCATGTTTTGCTCCTCCTAGCTTTTGCTCAGGCTGGCGGGAGGATAATGCTGCACTAACACCACATTACTTCAAAGCAAGGGACACATATTACTTCTCTCTCTTGCCTTAGCAACACAGATATAGCCTCCCATCAAGACAACTTGTGCCATCTTATTTCCACGTCATAGCCTATCTCAACCAAGCAAGACCCCAACAGCAAGCTAGAGAAGCAAAGGTGGCAGTAAAGTTCTTCTCAACTGTTTTGCTTAAACAGATGAAGTCAGAGTAACATACTAACAAGGCTGTGGCTCAGTCCAGAGAAAGTAGGTCACTACCCAAACCAGAGTGCTTGGGTCCAAATGGCAGATTCCCTTTCTTAAACAGGGTTCAAAACTAACTGCTCAAGAGGTCCATCCAAATGGATGGAAATCTTGGGAGCTGCTGTCCAAGGAAAACCGCAGATTCCATTAGTTAGTTTGGCTTATTTCTTTGAATGCCTCAATGG